GCATTTGATGCACAATTCCACCGGCTATGTTCTAAAACAATTGGTTCATGCTTTCAGCTGTGCACTATCGAGTTATGGAGCACGTGGGAAGTTTGGAGAGCACTCAAGAAGCTAGAATTGCCCTCGGCTATCGCCTCGGGCAACTCTTACGCTTCTTTCGTGCTCTCCAAACTTCCCGCGTGCTCCATAACTCGATAGTGCACGCTAAAGCATGAACCAATTGTTAAATAGAATGTGGCCTGGAACGTTTCAAACACGCATCTGTTGAAAAGCGTTTTGAATAAATTAATGTTGGACTATAATATGGAAGAAGCGAAATTATCAGTGTGTTTACCATTTGAACGGCTACGCTAGGTAGCCATTTGTAAAAATTTTGTAAGGTGGTTTTTAAGAAGGGCGTGAACATTGCTTAAATGAGCCCTTATTTCCTTATTCTGATGCGGTTCCGATAAACGTGAAAGCTTACCAAAAAGATTGAGGAGTATGTCATATTCTAGACTGACGCGTGGGTGTACCTGTGACGATCCTCGAAATCAAGAAGGAACCGTTCTTCCTTCGCCTCTCAGTTGATTTGCCTTCGTGATTTTTCTTTGATCTACAACCAATTGCGAATTCACGACGGGTAGACATCCATGCAAGAAATCATTCTAACTTTGAAATGATGGGCGTAAATGTGGCCTATATGTCCCTATATTTCTTGCCGTTTCGATCATGGACCAAGACCAAGAAGCAGGGTAACATGATTCTAGAAAACGCAGGCGTATCTGTAAGAAAACTCGTGAAAGAACAAGCCCACGAATTTTGCCTCTTGAAAGTAGCCAGCGAGTAGGCCTTCGCGGTAAAGAACGCACGTTTCTCCGCCCGCAGGAAGATTTGAGACGAGTCGGAGATAGGTTTGTCGGAGGTCTGGCACTAATGATACAAGCACTAGTCCTTTGGCCTTGAAGACCTCTCGCCGATTCGCTCAGCTCAAGACCTCATAAGAGGTTATAATGAGGGCCTGTGCGCAATCTGTGTTTACTGTAACCAGATATTTGAGACTCGTGGCTAGGTATTTCAGCAAGTGAAATGGTAAGCATCGTCACGAGCTTTACCATTCATTTTTCAAACCCAGTTTTGAATCAGTAGCGTTCTGTGATAGCTCTCACATATGGTTGGCTGAATGCAAAACAAAAATCAGAGTAATCACATCAACGAATCCGAACTAAGTTGAAAATCACCGGAAGTGAAAGTAGCGATTGGCCTTGGCTTGCATCTGACTGGACCTGATTGGTGAAGAGAATATCCTTTCGTGGATACTCTAAGCTTATCCCCCGACATTTCGTCCATTCAGTTATGCGCTGAACGATTTTAGTGGTGGAAGCCATTACCATTGTTGTTTTCATTACTTAAGTCCAACTTGCAGTGCATTTCGTTTGTTTTTCAAAGGGGTTTCCGACGTTTTATTTTAAAGAGAAGAGAGATATATTTGGGAGCCCATGTTTATAAATAAGAATGCTGGATGAGAGCGAGTTATAGTGTTGCTTCAGAAGATAAATATCACGCTTGTTAACCTGTTGTCAGGCGTTCTTTTTTCGGGGAGCATGAATGTGTGGCAGCGCAGCAGAAGAGTTATCTAACCCCCATTTCTCCCTCTCATGCACCCGCCATTTTCGTCCACTGGCCGCCGGAAGACTGGGAAGAACATTGCAAACTGTCACGGCGTCATCTGTATCTCTAAGCATTGAGCGCTATCATGGGTGACGCTATATCGAAGGCGTTTGTCCAGGGTAAGAGTAAACAGTATTTTTGGTCAGCGGGCAAATTATGAAACCCGCGAATATTGCGAAATCCCGCGAAAGGATGACATTTAAAAACCGAAGACAATTTTTTACTAAGACACTAGAATGCGTAATGATGGCGACGACTCAGTAAATATATGAAAATAATATATATGTAATGCGCTTTTATAAAATGTATGAAAACGCTCTTCGCAATAATAAACCCTACTTATCAAGTTATCTGGGGAGCAGGGTTGGTGTAGTGGTGAGAGCGCTCGCCTTCCACCAATGTGTCCCGGGTTCGATTCCCGGACCCGACGTCATAAGTGGATTGAGTTTGTTGGTTCTCTACTTTGCTCCGAGAGGTTTTTCTCCGGGTATTCCGGTTTTCCCCTCTCCTCAAAAACCATCATTTAAATTGATTTAATTTAGAAGTTTATTTGATTTGCACACGACTCCACAAGCTGTTCAGCTATGAAACATTATCGTGTTTAAATAAAGGAATTATTATAAAGGAATTATTATAGTAGGTGGAAATAAGGCCTGAAAAAATTTTAGGTCCGTACGGGCGATGAACCTATGACTTCTGTGATATCGGTGCTGTACTCTACAAACTGAGCTAACAAGCCAACTGGGAGCGGGTCATTATGTTGGTTCATATTAAGCCCGCCAATAAATTTGAATAAATGAAAATCATATATGTGTACTGCGGTTTCATAAAATATACGGAAGCGTTCCTCGCAGTAATAAACCGGCCTATTTATCTAGTAGCGACTAAGTACTGCAGACATGACTTGTTGACTTGCCCTGTTCTGCCGACAGAAGAGCGAACATGATAAGCATGCAATGTCTTCTTTCAGTGCTTATAACAAGTGTAAAATTATTAAGTCGTAAGTGAAAAAAGCTGTTCCTTCAATTTAAAACGGCAGTCACGTTGAGAATAAAGTAACCCTTTATTTGGCTGTCATTATATTTGTAGTGAGGTCGCTGACGCCAAAACAGGCTGGCTTTCTCTATCATGGCCTTGCATCGAGCTGGTGCATTTTAAACAGAAGGATGGGTACAAGTGCAGAATTCTCATTTGTCTCACGTAAGTAGCTAACTTGCTCTGCACCCACACGCGATATTTAGTTTTTAAGTTTAATACAGAAGTCACTATTCTCATTAAATCATGAGGCGTTAAGGTACGAAATATTTACCCTCACAAGGTAACTAGGAAGAAAGTGCATTCGATTAAATATACCTTAGCAACCAATTATTTCTTCCTTAAAAAGGAATTTAACGGAATATTGCATATTCTTCACTCATTTTTCCCAATGATTGGTTGTTGTTTTCGATCGTTTCTTTCAGTTTGCTAGAGGTTTGTGCGAAGAGTCCTCCGTAGATACAGCTTTCAACATAGCAACCGAACGTGCACTGATAACGTCTATGGTGTTTGGCTGTTGTTACGATGACATCCACGAGTAAGTAACTTAAGTCACAGCTTGTTTCCGAACTGCATATCCTTTAATCTTGCCAAGCATTGGGTTTGATCCTGATATAGAGTTGAGAGTCAAAGTATGAGACCTGACCCACTAAAAAAGAAGACATACGTTTTAAGTGAATGATAACGAAATCACGGTTGTTCCGTCCGCTGTAGGAGAAATATCAACGTCTGCATAGTGTGCCATGACGACGATGGAGAAGGTTGGCTGGGATGCGACAGTTGTGGCCAGTACTTCCACGCAAGTTGCATCAAAGTGGATTTCTCAGACTCTCTCTAGCTACTTTGTCTGCCCTTATTACTAGTTCACAACATCGTTGCGGATCAGTGACGTAATTGATGGTGGAGAATATTCTTCCCAGTGTAAGCTAGGCTGTGTAAAATTCCTGGAATTCCCGTTATTTCACGAATTGTTTGACACTAAAGTGTTGATAAGTTTCTCGCATTACGTAAGTAAAAATTGACTTAACGCTGCAAGGAGAATCTCCCTCAAAATTTACTTTTAAGAGTCGAAATTACCATCCAAAATTCAAACTTTACTTTTAGGTTTATTGGCGCATTGATAACCCTGTAGTAGCTCAAACATACTGAAAAAAGTTTCATTCGTTCTTGTATATCTTCATCCTTTGTTCAGTACGATCTTAGGAGCCGACCATTTAACTCTTGAGGGGGGGGTGGTTGGGTGATTTTGAAAAAAATTTTCCTGCAAGCGCCTGTTGGACAAAAAAAAAAATTTTCAGGTCTGATTTTCACCGCTTAAGTAGTGCTCTTTACTGCGAGGATCGTGCACAAGTAAGTTTCCATAACCACAGTTCAGATATATGAATTTCATATACTCGTTGTTTGATTTATCATCTTACGGGTTTATGTCGGACTAATTTGATGACCTGCTCTCAGTGGGCTTGTTAGCTCAATTGGTAGAGCGCTGCACTAATATCGTAGAGGTGAGTGGTTCTAATCCCGTACAGGCCTGAATTTTTTCAGGTCTGATTTTCACTATTGCTCAGATAGTGCTCTTTACTGCGAGGATCGTGCACCAATACGAAAGCAAATGCGTTAGGTTAGATTGAGATTGGGAATTAGCATGAAACGTTATGAAAACTTCAGATATAAGTAT